ACTCTTTATGCTGATTGTCCTACTAGTCTCTCCTATTTACTTTGCTTACAGTCCTTGTAATTTATGCTGTAAACTCCGGAGCACTTCATTTGGTTGACTTTTTTATGTTCTGTGGGCAGGTTAATGAAGAATGTTGTTCTTTCCTTCACGATTGTAGGAATGTTCCATTTCCACTATAACAGCTGCAGCTCCCGAGTCAGTTTACAAAGGGGTAGACATATAAATCATTTCTCCTCTGTTTCCCCGTTCTGCCATCTCTTCATCACAATCAGTATGTTCCGTTGTATTGTTTCTTCTGGAAATCCGTTTTCAAGACATATTTTAAGTAAACGAGGACCGGAATCGAAGGCTTATAGGCAGCCATATTTCCGATAGCAAGACAGTGATTTATATATACAGCAGGGAACTATTATGAACGGGATAGAGGGGGGCTAGATGTAATTTGGAAGCCCTGCGAGCAGCTTCTGAAACCGGTAAAGGTGATTAAGCTTTAGCAAATATATTTGAAGCGACATTGGAGGAAGGAAGAGCGCAGAATGGTGTGAATGGGCAAATGGGTCGCATGAAGTGGGGTTAAGAGAAAGAGATACAGCACTAGAATGTAGCATAAAAAAGGGGAATAGGGCTGATGCCATAAAATTGGTCGAAGGGATTGCCCTCAACTGTCATATTGGCAAGGTGTAACTCTGTCCTAAGCATGGCACCTTTCACTGACGATGCCAGCGAAAGATCTGGGGATGTTCTAAATCCACGGTCGGATGCTAGAAATCATCATGCATACTGAAGCCGAGGACGCAAGACTAGATACATTCCAAAAGGTATCCCTGTCGCTCCAACCAAGTTGCAAAAACGAAGTCCAAACAACACTAAAAATCAGCTAGATATTTATTCCAATAGCTCTTAATGCAAAGAAGGTCGACAAGCATCATAAACATTAGAACTTGTATATGAGATACATTAATCCTATTTCATCTAAGGTGATGAAGGACTTGTAGTTGAATTTCCTCATAATGACATGAGTATATCTGACGTTTTCATTGACTTTCACATAGCCTTGTTTTCAAAAAAGGTGCTCTTATCCAAGTGTTCATCCCAGCCGGACTCGAACCATGACAATGCAGCAGGTAATTTCGACACGTTAACCGCCTAGGCGAGGTCGAAACTGTAGTCCATCCTGGATGAGAACACCTTTTTGAAAAGCAGGGCTTTGCGACATTCAATGAAAACGTCAGCTCTATTCATATCATTATGGGAAAATTCACTTACCAGTTCTTCATCACTTTAGACAAAATAGGGTGAATACATCTTATATTACTGATTTACTGGTAATCTCGAAACCCTAGTTATAAACCAAAAATTAGAAAATTTATCTGTTTAGCCAAATTTATTATTTGCTACTCCCCCATCTTCTTCAGTCCATGCATTGTATTGATCCATTGCTAGCTCTTCTTTATGCCTTAACCTATGAACTCTCTCCAACTGGTGAAGCGTAGGGTTCACAATATAGTAAGATTATCAATATGCAAGTAAATTTTATTACCAAACTATTTTTTATTTAAAAAATCTTAGTGTAGCTAAGTTATATACTTTCTTACAAGTCTGTTTCCTCATCCTCAAACTTAACTTCTTTTGAGGTAAGTTTCTTCTTCTTGATATACATTCGCCCACCAATCTGTCTATTCTTATATACTTGGTAATTTTTCCCCATTTATCAATTTTTTACAGTCTGTGGAGGAGAACTACATGCTGAACTTTCAAGCCAGTATTTCCACTCGCATGCTAGTTCAGACGGCCTTATCAAGTCGAATGGAGGCTCGATCGGTGTTTCAGGTGGTGCAGGCGGCTACAGGGACGGTTCCTATGCCAACAGTCACCTGTCGTCCGCTTCCTCATCCTTCTCCTTGGCAATAGGGACTGACGTGTCTGCAAACTCATTTACCTCCAGGCGTCCTCATACGGGTTACCCGAACCAGCAAGATTGTACCTGGCGAATTCTGCCCACCAAAGGGAACTACACCGTTCTCCTGCGCTTCCTCGACTTCGAGCTCGAGGCAGAATCCAACTGCAAGTAGGCACCACAGCTTTAGGCCTCTCGAGTGCTTAGTTTCGATTCTGGCTCACCAGCTTTGCGCCCCAAAAGGCCTAATGAAATAAGATTTTGTGGAATACTACTCTGACTCTGTAGGACTGGCTCTTGCTATGGGGATGATAAGCAAAGATGCCCGAAATAGAAAGTCTTGCGAATTATAAATAAATATACAAATGTCGCATCTCTATAGTGATTTCAGAAGGCAAAACTATGGGAAAACTGACGTGGGGTCAGAAACTGGGAGGGTTTCGGTCACGCCAGGTCATTGATAATGTTCCAGAGCGGGAAACCACTCTTTCTATACTTTTATAAATAGGCTTGGGAACCCTAGTAAAGTTCAAACTTATTGAAAATAATTGCAATTCGATACAAGTCATGCTTAACTAGGAAAAAGAGAGAAACGATAATATTGCACATGCTTGATTCCAATTTGTTAAGACAATAAACTTATGGCCTGAATAGGATGTGTGAATGTAATTGGGGGGATATGAAAATATGACAGTTAAATTGTAGGGGATAGGCCAGGCTTGTGACAGAATTTCTCATTCGTCTAGTGACTTGGAACATGCTGAGCCTTATGGGCGAGAGAGTAGGAATCCATGCACATAAAAGTTAAGATAAACAAAGATTAGTAGCAAATAAAAAAAGATTTAGGGCCAAGTAATTGATTGTCAGAGTACAAGAGGGTTGCAATGAATTTGCGTTCACTCCATTCATACTGCATTTCTTTTCATAGGAAACTGGGCTATTGAGAGTAATAAAACTATGAGATGTATTCACCCTATTTCGTTTAAGGTAGTAGAAGTTACCCACAATGATATGAGTAGAGCTGATGTTTCCATTAAATTTCGCATAGCCTTGCTTTCCCAAAATTTATTCTCATTCAGGCTGGACTTCAGTTTCGACCTCGCATAGGTCTTATCAACACTGTACTGTCACGGTTCGAGTCCCACTGGAGATGTGGATAATACTGAGTCGAAACTGCAGTCCACTCTGGATGAAAACAACTTTTAGGAAATCAAGGCAATGTGAAATTTAATGGAAACGTCAGCTCTACTCATACCATTGTGGGAAAATTCTTCTACCAGTCCTTCATCACCTTAAACGAAATAGGGTGAATACATCTCATATTACTGATTTACTGGTAGTCTTGAAACTCGACTTACATACGAATAATAAAACTATGCTAGGCATTTAGATAGGTTATTTTTATCTCATCGTATTGACAACACCATTCTTGTTCAAGCGGCTTTTACTCATGGTTGTTGTCGTAGTGACAAATGCTTTTTGCTTGACCGTGAGGATTGGAACTGTCGCATATTTAAAGAGATTGGTTACCTCGTTGTCACAACTTGGTCTTGTTGTCAAGACAACTTAGTATAACACACCTAGTCCAAAGTCGCCTGCCATAGTAGTTGCCATGATTCCCATCATCAGACAATGGACTTTGTATATTCTCAAACGTTTCGCCGGCATCGTAGTCGGCATCATTAGTGAATTTTGTCATTCTCCGCACCAAGCTACGAACTCGTCAAAGAGACAAGTTAAGTCAATCTCTCGACCGTGTAATCGTTTTCGGCAGAATATTTGTCGAGGGATTGACTTCACTTGTCTCTTTGACGAGTTCGTAGCTTGGTGCAGCGAATTGCAGACGACTTCGGACTATTTGCGTTCTACTAAGTCGCCCTGACAACAAGACCAAGTTGCGACAACGAGGTCAACCCACTTCTATAAAT